TTGACCTACATTCGTCCCAATTCGGCATATTCTGTGGACAGTAACAGGCTCCTTGGCCTGCCCTATACAGTAGTGACTCCAAGCTTGAACCCCATCATTTACAGCTTGAGAAATAAAGAGATAAAAGCTGCTTTCATGAAATCTGTAGCAAGGAAACAGGTTTTCCTTGGGTAATAATCCAATTATATCAATTGGTTTTATCACTTCATCAGATTACAATTGTCCCACAGATATTTATGGGGTAGAATAAACCTTAGAAGATACCACAGCAGGTGTTACTCTTAACTTTGAAATAACACAGAGCTGGGAATAGATTTATTCAAAACATGGAGAGAAGCTCAAGTTGATTATTCTGGTAGTACAGTATGTAAGTAAAGGATTCACCGGCCACTTCCTTACAAGAAGTCTGCCATACAGTGGCGTACAACAAAGCTAAAAACCATTAATATATACAAAAACAATGATTAATATTCTTATTAAAAAACTTATAAAAATTATAAAAAGCACAGCTAAAACAAAAAAATATTGGGCAAAGAGCAGGTATTAATTATGCCTGAGCCATCTCAATATTTCACCAATCCCCTGGGGTCCCCAGGCCTGATGACACAACCAGATCTTGAGGGACTTCCTGAAAGTTAAAAGAGATGAAGCCAACCTCACTTCAGGGGGAAGACTATTCCATAAATGGGGGCCATAGCGGGCCCCCTCTGCTGGATCTGGTAGGACAGGCTGATGTAATTGGGGAGAGATGTTCCCTCAATAACCCGGTCTTGTGCCATGTAGGACTTTCAAGGTCAAAATAGTCTGGTAACCAGTGCAGCTTGTGGAACAGAAGTGTAACATGCATTCTTCTAGAAACATACATAACTGCCCATGTCACTGCAGCTTCCAGTTATGCTTCAAGGGAAATGATCTAGGAACAGGAGCAACTGGCACACAATACAAAGTTTTGCTCCATGCGGAGTGCCTAATAGTAGTCCAACCGGGAGGTGACTAGGTCACGAGTGACTATGAATACAGCCTCAGATCTAGGAACAGGTGCAACTGGAGCAGAATACAAAGTTGAGCAAAGGCCCTCCCAGCCATGAGTGCCATCTGCTCCTTGAGCAGTGAGTCTAGGAGAACCCCCAGATTTTGCATGGGGTCTGTT